TGGATGAAAAGAAAAGTACATACAGAATTTGTTCTATTGACGATTGTGAATTTGTCACACGATCTGTCCATGACAGACCGTGTGACAAATGAAAAAACTTTAAAATGGAATTGTGGTGTATATACAACGGTTTCATTAAAGATTCTCCTTACAAAAGGTTGTGAAGAATGACTGAACTACATGTGGCTTTTCGATTCATATTCTGTGGCCTCAGCTTGCATTCAATTTCGCCTAACGGTTTCCGGCGCCATTGATTGTCAGAAAAAACCACAAGTCTAGGCTAAAGGATAAAAGCCTAGAAAATTATCCCTTTTTTTTCGTTTTTTACTTTTTTTCTATTAGATACGTCTCATGTGAAACCAATGGTTTAATCCATATACCATATATATATATATATATATATATATATATATATATATATATATATATATATATATATATATATATATATATATATATATATATATATATATATATATATATATATATATATATATATGTATAAATTAAAAAGAAGAGAGATACCAGAAACGTTTTTGGTTGTAATGTGGATTTTTTTTAAATATTATGCTTTATTTTCAATAATTTTACTACACCAGTTTCTGGTCTCGCGACCGTCATCAGGTAAATGGTGGTGATTTCCACAAATTATTGAAAATTAATTTTCTTCTCCTTTATGTTTCTCGATGTTAAATATTCTCGATATGAGACATTCTCTTTTTTGTGTGTTAATGACCCAAATGTCTTTCTTGAACTGGCAGTGAAGAGTTCTGCACGAAGAGTCATAAAACAATTAAGATTGGTCCGAGAGAAATGATGAATTAGTTGTCGGTGGGAACTACTCATGTGCACGCACACAAACCCCACACAGCTTAGGAAGTACGTGTGTATATATGTACGTATATATGCTTGTGTGTGTATGTGTATACTGGTTCCATGTAACTTGGGAAGTATGTGAGTGTACGTATGTGTGTATGTATGTGTGTGTGTGCAAGTACTGATTCCTTGTTGAGGCACGGTGTGTGTGTATGTGTGTATGTGTACAAATGTGTTTACTGATTCCTCGTAGTGAGACAGTGTGCATGTATGGAGAGTGAATATACACATATATACACACATGCTGACAGAAACAAATGAAAATGAAAATAGATCTAAGAAGACACAGGGGTCATGAAAACATTAAAAGATAAGATACCGATAACTAATTCATCATTTATATATATATATATATATATATATATATATATATATATATATATATATATAATAGATGTATGTATGTATATATATATAGATGTATGTATGTATATATATATAGATGTATGTATGTATATATATATGTATGCATGTATGTATATAGATGTATATATATATATGTATGTATGTACATATATATATATGTATGTATATAGATGTATGTATGTATATAGATGTTTATATATATATGTATATATATATATATATATATATATATAGAAGTCAACATAGAGGCGACAGCCTGTTTCATGCTGACGATTGAATATAGCATGAAACAGACTGTCGCCTCTAAGTGTTGACTTCTATGTTCACTTAAATATTTATACACGCTCTATCTCTGATATCGATCACTTTATCCCATAAATATAGCACACACCTTAAGACTATATTTTTCATATATATATATATATATATATATATATATATATATATATATATATATATATATATGTATGTGTGCATGAGTATATATATATATATATGTATGTATATAGATATATTTGTATGTATGTATATAGATGTATGTATGTATGTATATAGATATATGCATATATATATGTATATATATATATGTATATATATATATGTATATATATATATATATATATATATATATATGTATGTATATAGATATATATATATATGTATGTATATAGATGTAAGTATGTATATAGATGTATGCTTATATATGTATAATAAAGTATGTATATATATGTATATATATATATATATATATATATATATATATATATATATATATATATATGTATAAATGTAAATAAATATACATGTATAAATATGGGTATATTTTTGTGTGTATATATATATATGTGTGTATATATATATATATATATATGTGTATATATATATATATATATATATATATATATATATATATATATATATATATATTCGGATTCTTTTATGAGAGTTAATGAAAGGGATGACCTCCTGACGTGTAGGCCACATTATAAAGCGCGATGGGAATTAAAATAAACAGATCAGTTAAATCTAGCTTATAGTTGAGTGTCTTGGATGGAAACTAAATTAATACCAGCATTTGCGTAAAAGTCCCTGACTGCGATAATGTATTTCGCATTCAACCTCTGTCGCAATATCATCCGGTTTTCTACTCTAAACGTTCTATGCTTCCGATTGTTCTCTCTTCGTTCGATGACCAGAGTAAAAATGACGAAATATACAAAAGTACACGAACCTTGTTCTAAGTTATCATCTCTTTCTTTAAGAGAAATAGATAAGAACTTTGGATAAATTTCGACATTAGAATCTCCGGAAATCAATATAAAAAATATATGTTATAGTTGCTAAACTTACCTTTCTCACTATAACGGTTGACCAAGAGAGGCTAGAACTCGCTTGTCAGTAGAAACGTTTATCCCGCTGAGCTAATGAAGCGAGATGAGCAGAAAATAAAGTGGTGACGATTAATGGTCGCAATTCCCCAAGTCGAACGAAAACGTATCTGCTAATGATATCAGCATTCAATATTTATTATCAATACAGGGCTTGGACCCACTCAAGGTAGTACGTTATTGTTAAAATAAATATTATAGGAAGATTTAATTTCACGATTCAAGACATCTCTGTTTACGAAAACGACAAGCATGATTATGTTACTCAAACAATAGCCACTGAAGCCCGTTAATGTTAAATCAACGATGAATAATATGCGCGATATGAATGAGGTGTGTGATATGAATGCGGTGTGTAATATTAATGGGGTGTGTGATATGAATACGGTATGTCATATGAATGGGGTGTGTGATATGAATACGGTGTGTCATATGAATGTGGTGTGTCATATGATAGGGGTGTGTGAAATGAGGTGTGTGATATGAATGGGATGTGTGATATGAATGCGGTGGGTGATATGAATGGGGTGTGTGATATGAATTGGGTGTGTGATATGAATGCGGTGTGTGATATGAATGGGGTGTGTGATATGAATGCGGTGTGTGATATGAATTGGGTGTGTGATTTCAATGAGGTGTGTGATTTGAAGGGCTTGTGTGATATGAATGAAAGCCGGTAGGGCTATGAAATGAACATTATGACTACAACATCAGATCAAAATGTACGAAGACTGATGCTGTGAAATGAAAACTACAATACATATCAATTCGGTATTTAATCTCCTTTGAATTAGTACCCCTCATAATCTACAGACATCATCCAGCGTCTTTCCTATTGCGATAGAGAGGAACTACCACGTCGCATTCTCTTGGCTTTCCTTGACGTCTTGAAATCGTATTCCATTCAAGCTGTATTTGATTTTCAAAGGATGGGCAGGTGCGTTGTAAGAGTGGAGTTGCCACTCACCGGATACATGCAATTTTGTCCTTTTCCGCCGACCAACATCATTCACCGTTATACTCCTCTTTTAATGCCGGGCCTTGTGGGACATGAACAATGCTTTTGTAGTCAACGAAAACTGTCAACAGCGTCTTCACATTGCTTCGACTAATTCGTGTTTTCTTCAGGCTCGGAGAGTTTGGTGTCTATCACTGGGATGACTGGGACTTTGCTTTCGGTGTCGTAGCCATAGACCCATGATTCGTCATTTGCTATGACTTGTTAAAAGGTTTTCTGTGGTCTGATGAGACAACCATACTCTACACACTTTGCTTCCATGCACTGCTATAAACAACGGAAGTGGTCGAGAACGTTGTAAATACGCGTGCCTACGTGACAGAATCCAAGGTCAATCAACAAAATGGCTTCCCTCTACGTACTTTTGTTGCTTTGCTATAGCAACAGCAATGATATTTTCTGAATGTCTTGAAGACGATGTCTTTTTATCCGTTAGTTATTTTGTTTTTGTTTTTATCTTAATCCTCATTTGAGTTGCACGCGAGTTGGAGAGTTAGGGATTAGATTGGAATCCTGGATCTTTTTAATGAGCGAAAGAAAATTATTTCTTCCTAATAAAAATCGAGGAGAGTATGATTCGAGCAATTGTCATCGTCTGCTTTCATGTTTCTGTTATAATAGTTTGATTTACATAAATAATTCAATACTAAGAATTAATATTTTTTCATCGAAGATTTTTTTTCTTTTACAAATAAAAAAAAACATTCATTCCTTTTTGAAAAATAACGTTGAGTTCCTTGTTCTTCATTTATTAAATTCTAGAATTTGATCATCGGATTATCCAGGCAGATTTGAAATTTTATAAAAGAAATCTGTAGTAAATAACGCAAAGATCTGAAAAGAATAAAAAATATGAATATATTAAGGATGGGAAACGGGAAGAATTAAAGTGTGTAAGACTAAGAAAGAAAAACTAACAGAAGAGCATTAGATTATGTTAGAAGAAGAGAAAGGAAGTTGCATTTGTGAGAGGGGTGTGAGAGAAATAGAGAGAGAGAAAGAGAGACAAATAGAGAGTAGATGAGAGAAAACAGGAAAAGGAGAAAAACGTATTGAGAAAAAGAGAGAGGAAGAAAAACCATTAGAGACGGTGTGATAGAATACCGTGTAAGAGAGAAAGGGATATTGAGGGGTGGAGAAGAAGGAACTTAAATAGAGTGAGAATGAGAGAAAAAAGTGAGAAGAAGGAGAGTGATAGAGAGAGAGAGAGAGAAACACAAGCGAAACGAATGGAGAGATGGTGACAGTAGACAGCAAAATGACGAAAGAGATTTAGAAAGAGAGAGAAAGAAGAAGAAAAAGAATAATGTATGAATGATCGAAAAGAGAGAGAAAGTGTGATTTAAAGAGAGTTAGGGCGAAGAAAGATAAATGGGAATAGAGGGAAATAAAAGAGAGAGATAGTGAGAGACAGAGGGGAGGATTGAAAGAGAAATAGTAAGACAGTGAGGGGAGAGAGAGAGATAGGAGTAAATATAGATGTTCAGCTTCTCTCTTAGCCGAAACAGTTATATATATATATATATATATCGCATCAAAAGTCAAAGTTCGACGTGCTAATCCCATCTCAGATGTTGACATGATAGACAGGCAGAACGTCTCCACTTAGACGACTGGCGTGTCATGATCTTCTAACCTGCTCGATTTTCTTCTTTTTAAACTTGTGCCTTACTAAGATATATTTTTATACATACCTTGAAAGTAGAGGCAAAAATGTCGAAAGAAACGTAGAATCGAATGGAACGCATTTACGATTGAGCAGATAGATAGACAGAATACCATGTGAGAGAGAGAGAGGGGGATATTGAGAGATGGAGAAGAAAGAAATTTAAATAGAGTGAGAATGAGAGAGAAAAAATGAGAAGGAGAGCGATGGTGAGAGAGAAAAGCAGGCGAAAGGAATGGAGAGATGGTGACAGTAGACAGCAAAAGGACGAAAGAGATCTAGAAAGAGAGAGAGAGAAAGAAAAAGAAAAAAAGAATAGAGTATGAGTGATCGAAAACAATAAGAAAGAGTGAGAGAAGAAAGAATGTTATACTTTTCTGTTAGTTTTAGTAGATTGATTGATTGATAGGAATCAGATATAGAGAAATGTCAGAGATAGAGAAATGTCAGAGATAGAGAAATGTCAGATATAGAGAAATGTCAGAGATAGAGAAATGTCAGAGATAGAGAAATGCCAGATATAGAGAAATGCCAGATATAGAGAAATGTCAGAGATAGAGAAATGCCAGATATAGAGAAATGTCAGATATAGAGAAATGTCAGAGATAGAGAAATGTCAGATATAGAGAAATGTCAGAGATAGAGAAATGTCAGATATAGAGAAATGTCAGATATAGAGAAATGTCAGAGATAGAGAAATGTCAGATATAGAAATGCCAGATATAGAGAAATGCCAGATATAGAGAAATGTCAGATATAGAGAAATGTCAGATATAGAGAAATGTCAGAGATAGAGAAATGTCAGAGATAGAGAAATGTCAGAGATAGAGAAATGCCAGATATAGAGAAATGTCAGAGATAGAGAAATGTCAGAGATAGAGAAATGTCAGATATAGAGAAATGCCAGATATAGAGAAATGTCAGATATAGAGAAATGTCAGATATAGAGAAATGCCAGATATAGAGAAATGTCAGAGATAGAGAAATGCCAGATATAGAGAAATGTCAGATATAGAGAAATGTCAGATATAGAGAAATGCCAGATATAGAGAAATGTCAGATATAGAGAAATGCCAGATATAGAGAAATGTCAGAGATAGATGAAGAGTGACATCAGATAAGGAGACGGGTATTAAATATATAAAAACAGACATCATACACACACACACACACACATATATATATATATATATATATATATAGACAGAGAGAGAAAGAGAAAAAAAGAGAGATCAGATAGATATATAGTGAGAGGTCACATAGATACAAAGAGTGAGATCAGATAGATAAGGGGAAGGTATTAAATATATAAAAGAGACAATATATATATATATATATATATATGTGTGTGTGTGTGTGTGTGTGTGTGTGTGTGTGTGTGTGTGTGTGTGTGTGTGAGAGAGAGAGAGAAATAGAGAGATCAGATAGATATATAGAGAGAGGTCAGATAGTTACAGAGAGTGACATCAGACAGATAAGGAGGGATTATATAAAAAGAGAGATCTTATATATATATATATATATATATATATATATATATATATATATATAGAGAGAGAGAGAGAGAAAGGGAGGGAGAGATCAGGTAGATATATAGAGAGAGGTCACATAGTTACAGAGAGTGAAATAAGTAGGAGCTATTAAATATATAAAAAGAGAGATCATATATATATATATATATATATATATATATATATATATATAAAGAGAGAGAGAGAGAGAGAGAGAGAGATCAGATAGATAAAGAGACCAGATAGAGAGAGATCATATGGATAGATAAAGAAAAAAATCAGATAGATAGATAGATAGATAGATAGATAGAGAAAACTGAAATAGATAAAGAGAGAGAGAGAGAGAGAGAGATCAAGTAAAGAAAGTGATATCAAATAGATAGATAGATAGATAGATAGATAGATAGATAGATAGATAGATAGAAATCTGTGAAAATGACGTCACAATATTGAATGTCAGAAGAGATAGAACCGAAGCGTTTAACCTAAGAATGACAAAACAAAAGCAAACAAGTAGAAAAAATCGTAAAGAAAAGAAAAGAAAAGAAAATAGTTTATATATATATATATATATATATATATATATATATATAAATATAAAAGAAAATTCGAAAGGATGACTGTAAAAAATGCAATGGTCGAAAGAAGAAAATGTTAAGACTTTCCTTTAAAATGATTTCTGTTTGTTTGTATTTTATCTGTTTGATTTATTTTAGTTCGAGCAGTTGAATGTCTTTAACATCACGTCGTAGCCTTATCCACCCACGTTAATATACGTGATCTTGCGAGAACTGCCGAACAAAACCAACGGAATCGTTCGCACGAGCAGACTATGTGGGCGAGAGATAATTTGACAGCTTATTGGTTGGGCTCGTTCCGATTTTGCTTTGCAGTATTTCCATAACGTTTCTATTTTAAAGAAGGAGAGAAAAAAACATTTTCGCTCACATTTTCTTCTGTTAATATCAAACATGGGCTTTAAAATTAATTAAATCCCTGTTATCTATTTTAGTAGTTAAATGTACACAATGTTTTTTTAGTTTTTTTTTAAATAAATTTTCAACTATCTTAGATCTATTTCTAATGCTTCTTTGCATCGATAGCTTCCATTTTTTTTATCTGTTGTGTTTGTTGCATCTGTTTGTCTTCTAGTCATATATTTGATTCTCTTACTATTATTTTAAAAGTAGTATTGTTATTATTATTAACCTGTGACTTCAAGAGGCAACAAGATTTTGTTTTGCTTTTTCTTCTTTTTTTTTTTGGCATCAGAAGATGCGCTTAGATGAGGCGCTATTTAAAATGTTATTGTTGCTATCGCATGGAGAGAAATCAAAGCAAGCTCTGTGAGATCTCCATAAGTATTTTTTTTTCACAATTACGTATTTACGGGCTACCAGGTATATGTAATCCACATAATTGGTTTTCTTTTTCGATATCTTTCCCAAAACCCTCATGACAAGAAGTAATGTTGTTCCCCTCAGATGTCACGTTCTACTAAATTCTATTTTGCTTAGTTTCTCAAAAGTATTCCAACATTTGACTTTGTCTGTTGGCACTGCAACATCTTTGTGAAGATATGACTTTTCAGCATGTTTTTTCTTTCCTTTTTTTTTTTTTTTTTCAAAACAATGTCTGTCAATTTCGATTTTCCTGGACTTCTCTATCACTCTGAACGCTGAAATTCCAGAGGATCTGCTAAACCAGGAAAGTGTCACCTTCATGATTTACATCAGTCTTTTCCGAGTCCACGTTGGGATACTTTCACTACGGCTTTGTCTAGCGTCCCATCTACCACCATTTATTATTATTATTATTATTATTATTGATTTGCTGTTTTATAAAAACTTTTAGTACATCTTTGAGACATAAATAAATATCAATATAGTATTAGTAGTAAATTCTGTTACAGAAAGAGAAAGAAAGTTTGTGTTAGTAAAAGGGCGTGAGAGAATTAGAGAAGGAGAAAGACAAAGACAAATAGAGAGTAGATGAGAGAAAACAATAAAAGGGGGAAAAGTTCTTGAGAGAAAGAGCGAGGAAGCATTAGGTCATAGCCGCGCGCTAATCTCTTATTTCTTATCGAACTCTCGGCCTTAAGGCAGAGAGGAACCCAGGAGAGGCTATGCCGAACGGTAGTCTGGGGAGGTAGACAAACCCGACCCCGTTATTAAGGGGTCCACGGGGAATTTTTGCCCGGACCTACGAGCTCGGAAACAAACCATGTTAAACCGGCCTTGTGCCAGATACCGCACCGTGGGGAGCTAGGGAAAATGCCGAGAAAGAAAGAGGAAGAAAAACATTAGAGACGGTGTTTACTCATTCCCCCACGAGAATGAGATGTGACTCAAGATCGGAATAATGTGGGGACCCGAGCGCGTACACGCGGGCAGGAACAAAATTCCCCTCAGCCCCTGCAACCGACGGTTGCGCTGGCCTCGGTGCGAGCACTGATCCCTCCTTCCCTCTTGCGCAATGTGAGGGCGCGGTCCCGGGCAGCTGTTCCCCAGGGCTCGACACCTCTTCAGTATAATTTTCCTCAGTTGCCTCTCTGTCCTTTGACAAAGAAGCCCCTGAGCGCACCCTGTCCAAGGAAAGAGACGCAACTAAGAGATGATAAGCCTGCGTTAAAATCCCTCCAAAGAGACTGGGTGATAGAATAAAGAGTAAGAGAGAAAGGGATATGAGTAAGGTTTTTCTCATAAAGTTATGGAGCTTATAATATTGACAGAAATTCTCTTTGTGTACGATGGCCAAGCTTTTGTATCGCAGACGGCGATATAATTGCCTGGATTTTTAAAAGTATGTTCCAGTGACCTTTGTCATCTTTTCTTAATGCTATTTTTTCCTTTCTTTTTTTTTATAAATCAGTTCATCCCCAAGCAAGACGGTGATGCCACTAGTACGCGGGTGGTTACAAAGAATGAAATTTAGAGAAAAGACTGAATACATTGTACATTCTTAGAATTTCAATACCTCGGTCTTTACATTTTTTTTTTAACATTTTCAATTACTTTGCTAAGCTATTTTTTATGAAACAAGATAGACATGTCTATACGATCGCATTGATAATGCTGGCATATTTTATTATCATATATATTTTACGGACATTTTATTATGTATAACCGCTATACGCAAGCCCATAAGACCACATATAATGTTTTTAACTGTTGGTATTGGTATTAAAAATGTAGCTTCTTGCCAACCTTTAACTTGATGGTCTTTCCTATGTTATTTAATATTAAACATGGCGAATGATTAAAAAGATAACGAAGTTTGAAGATATTACCTTAAAATTCACTGTGACTCTGGAAATCATTATACTTCTTCTACGTACCGTGTTCCTTTGGCGATCATGGCCCTCCTGAACATCTTATTACTCGTGGCTCTTAGAAGCGTTTCTCTCTTTGCCAAGTCTCCCGCTCCAGTTCATTAATCCATTCAGAAAGTTTCACCAGGTATATGTCCCGGTGCCTTTCCCTATGTCGTTTAACCTTGATACGTATTGTGAGTGTTAAGTTTTCCAGGTCTTCTTTCCTCGTTATATGTCCAGGAAATTTTAGCTGTCTCTTTCTGATTTTTAGTATAATTGTTCTTTTGGTTACCATTATATTTATAACTTCTTCGTTGCTTATTCACTCTGTCCATTGATTACTCATCATCCTTCTGTAGAACTACGTTTCCGATTTCTCCAATGTTCTCTTCATCTCTAAGGAGATTTTCCTACCATAAAATAGCAATAGCAATTCAACACTCTTCTCTTTTTTTCTAACTAACTTTTCCTGTTTCTTACTACTTTTTTTACCTTTGAGTGGCAATTTATTTTGGCTAACCTGATGCTCGTTCAGATCCTGGTATCGCATTATATATATATATATATATATATATATATATATATATATATATATATATGTGTATATATATATAACTACAGAATAAACCCTTCCTAACACTATGTATACTACGCCGCTTCAGTTTCTACGGGCATTTTTGGGCCGAGCCTACGGGCTCGGAAAACCCACGTAAAACCCGACCAGTCCCACATCTTTCCCTCGTGGGGGTGCAAATAAATAGCGAATCGAGTCGAGACGTTTCGGCTTGACGGTCGAACTCTCTGCCTCTGAGCAGAGAGGAACCCGGACGAGGATCCGCCGAATGGTAGAGCCTAGTTCGGGGAGGTTGACAAACTCGATTCTGTTTTTACAGTTTCTACGGGCATTTTTTGGCCGAGCCTACGGGCTCGGAAAACCCACGTAAAACTTGGCGTTGTGCCACATATTTCCCTCGTGTGTGTGGGGGGGGGGGCAAGTAAATATCGTATCGATTCGAGCCGATAGTAATTCACTCCAAACCAGACTGACAGTCATACCTGAATACATTCAGGTATGACTGTCAGAGATAGATATTCTAGGGTAGATTCTTCCACATCTTGTATTATTATTTCATGTAATAAACCGTTATTTCTACTCTTCTGTTCGTGTTGGTCTTCCTAGGTCCTAACCTGGACCATAACAATATATATATATATATATATATATATATATATATATATATATATCTAATCATATACGAATGAGCTGTGATATATACCTCCCCGTATTAATCTTTTCCGCACTTTTTTATCTATTGTTTTTTTTTAATCATTTCGCCTCCATCAAAGCAAGAGGTTACTGGGTGTTTGCGAATATGGGTAAAAAAACACACAGTTAAAGAGAGAGAGAGAATTAAAAGAACAGAAATTAAGAAGACAGTAGATAATGATTAACACTGCATTTAAATATTTAAAGTTCAAAGTTGACTAAAAAGCAAGGAGCCAGTAGAGAGTTCCACAACAGAGAAGTACAATAGAATAAACTATCAGCATAAAACTTACAGTTGCAGCTATCCCTTTCAACCCTAAAATAATGAGACTTTGCCGCCAGTCTAGTACTGCGCTTAAATTTATAAAGTCTGGGTACCATAGAGAAAAGCTTATCAGAAAAATTACCGTGAGAGTATTTATAGAAAAGGGGCATGGAAAATAGGTCTTGGTGGTGGGAATGCCATTGAAGGTGCGATGGCGGGTCGGGACTAACAGCATTGCAAATTTTTCTTTGGATTTTATCAAGAATATCGAAATATATAGCAGGAGTACCAGACTCGATGAGGCAGCAATATTCAAAGCAAGGAAGAACGGTAGATGTATAAATATACAAGATAGATTCTGGAGAAACAGAAATTGTTTAGCATGACAAAGTGAATCAGATTTCCTGTTAGCAAACCTAGCAATTCGTTCAGTATGATCTTCCCACATCATGTCAGCGGAAAACGGTAGTCCGAGAAAGTGCGGGAGGTTAGCATCAGCCATGTTGATGAAAGGCAAAAAGGGTTTTATCAGACGCGCAAAAGAGAGCAGTTTTGTTTTGGAGGCATTAAAATTAACGAGCCATTCTTTGTCCCATTTAACAACAGATTGTAGCTAATTTTTCAGATCAGCTGCCGGTTTGACCTTATCGACCAGATTAGACTTTCTATTAAGATAGCAGTAAATAGTTGGATAATCAGCATAGATAAAACGTATCTTGTTTTAAAGGAAGTGTGTAAGTGTCTTATTTAAGGATGAAAATTGATTATGTTTTCTGTATGATTGGTTCTAGTTTTATCAGATAGAGTTAGATTAATACAAATAGCAAATAAGAATTTAATGAAAAACAGGCTTTTTTCCCATGTTACCGAACTAACGTTTCTTTCATCAATCTTTTATATTTATACATCAATTTGTGTCGGGAAAATAATACATATCTCAAAAATATAATGTAAATAATTAATTACAAATAATTTCAATTTTATAATTTAAATTAATCAGAGTTATTAAATTGATAGGAAATTGAAAACATGTTTATCAATATCTGTCTATATTTCTGAGATGAGGTATTATGTACACTATTTACATTATTCGGACTATTGTCCTCATCTATGTCGCCATATTTATTA